TCAAATTTGGTATTTGAAGTTCATAATGGATATTACAGCCTAAGACTGAAAATCGCCTGTTCAGGTCCACGTCTTCGTATTGCCCCCATATAATGGTACCTCCTGATATTCGTTATATTGATGATTTTACCGACTTTATTCACCGGAATTGTTTCAAATTTGGTATTTGAAATTCGTAATGAATACTGCAGCCTATGAAAAATTGTCTGTGCAGGTCCAAGTCATCTTGTAGACCCTGATATAGCGCTACATTGGTATTTTTAAGATTTTAACAGAATTTTTAACTGATTTTATTGTTTTTGAAAATTGCCAAATTCGCTCCAAATGGTGGAGGTATTCAAATTTCGGCCCGGTCGAACTTACAGCTTTTTTACTTGTTTACATTTTTTACTTATTTCCAAAATCCATACAGCTATCACAGGCTAAAACCATCTGATTCTTTTTTACTTGTTATCTCTTAAATATTTTTGAATAACAAGTAAAAAGCAGTCAGTTCGGCCGGGCCGAACTTTGAATACGCTACACCATTTGGAATAAATCCGGTGAATAATGTAGTTAAAATCATAGAAATACCGAATATAGGGAGGTAACGTCATATCGAGGATATACGAAGACCTGGACCTGCTTAGGTAATTTCCTCTCACAGACTGTAGTATCTATTAGGAACTTTAAGTACGAAGTTTTCTGTCACAGGCTGTAGTACCTATTAGGTACTTTAAATACGAAATTTTAAACAATTTCGGTAAATGTTGTACTTAAAATTGTCAAAATACGGAATATAAGGAAGGTATCGTTATATAAGGCTTATACGAATACATGGACCTGCATAGACAGTTTTCTGTCATAGACTGTAGTTCCTATTACGAACTCTAAATACGAAATTTGAAACAACTCCAGTGAATAATGTGCGTAAAATCATTAAAATACCGAATATTTGGAGGTACAGTTATATGGAGGCTATACGAAGGCGTGGGCCTATGTCGACAGTTTTCTTCCAGAGGTAAATTGCCTAGTAGAAAATTCTAGTATGGAATTTTATAAAATTCTATTGAAAAATGTAGTTATCAAAAAAAATCATCAAAATACTGAATATCGGGAGGTACCTTTATATGGGGGATATATGGTATCGTGGACTCACATAGACTCTTCCAGGGGGACAATTACTCAATTAATGTACTCCTTTTGTGGATTTCCAGACAATTTCTTTGAAAAATTTGGCTACTATCATCAAAATACAGAATATCGGGGGTACCGTTATATGGTGGCCATACGATATCGGGGACCGATATAGCCCATCTTCGAATTGCCTGCAGACAAAAGAGTGATCTGTGCAAAATTGTAGCTTCCTATGTTTATTCGTTTTGACTCTGGCGTGATTACAATAGACTGACCGACAGACAGAGGGACAAATCGTCTTAGAATTTTACGCTGATCAAGCATAGGTATATGCTTTGTTATGTCTAAAATTTTTATTTCGATGAGTTACAAATGGCATGACGAGCTTAATATACCCTCCATACTATGTATGGTGAAGGGTATAAAAATAAATCTCCATTTTGTGCGGTATTTGTGTTGCTCTTAGCTATCCAATGGAAAGTTTTACCAATCATTTCTCTTTGATCCAAAGGACACTTAAACACCCACACACACGCACACACGCACATTATCATAAAACAACACCCTTTCAATTCCATCAATCATCAACAAAGAGTTATGTGATCTATATTCAACTTCTAATTTGATTTCCCAGGAAAAATTTTCAATTTGTCTGTCTGTCTAAGTGGGTGAGCCTTTTTTGCCATGTTTCCCAAAAACGAAAAAGAAAATCCTATGCTTTTAAATGGTTTTCACATTTCAAATGAAAACACCACGAGCAACCGCCAGTGTAAGTGTTTGTAAAGAAAGCATTCTGCTCCTGCTCCTTTTTCATATTTTATCAAGGATATATTTTTCTGTTGTTTTTAGCCTTTCTTGAGAAAAACGCAACCCAAAAAGAAATGCAGTCCAAAAGCATTCAGAACAATTCTAGAATAAACAATGGAATCGTTCAGCAGAAGCAGTGGCAATTAAAAGAGAGAGAGAACACATTTTCTGGACCTTTAGAATCCCAGCAATGTGGCACGTTCTTTGCACATTTCTAAGTTGCAAACAAACAATCAACAATTAAGGAGCAAATACAATAGCATCCTGTGGCAGCATCTGAATTTTCTAAGCAATTAACATTTTATTTGAGGTATGGTATGATGTTTATGAGCTTCCTTTTTCATATTTCTTTGGAAAAAGAAATATTTCTTTGGCAATTACAAATTAATAACAAATGGAATTTATTATTTTAAGAAATGTTCTAGAGTTTTTAATTAAATGCGTAAATATTTTCGGCATAACTTTCTCAGAAATTGTAATTGTTCCATGGGCCTTTGGGACGTGTGATAGATCAGGCAAAGCTTATGGAACGTTTGGAACGAATTTGCCAATTTTCTAAAAAAATTAAATCCGTATAAAATCTGTTAAAATCTTAAAAATACCGAATGTAGTCGTTACATTAGGGTCCATACGACGACGTGGACCTGAATAGATAACTTTTGTCATAAGACAATACAATATTCAAATGCGAAACTTGAAAAAAAATCTGTGAATAATGTAGCTAATATCTTCAAAATACCGAATATCGAGAGGTGCCGTTATATGGGGGCTATACGAAGGCGTGGACCTGCACAGACAATTTTCATTCATAGGATATAGTATCCATTACGAATTTCATATGCTTAATTTGAAAAAATTCCGGTGAATAATGTCGCTAAAATCATCAAAATGCCGAATATCGGGAGGTAACGTTATTAGGGGGCTATACGAGGACGTGGACCTGCACAGAGAATTTTCGCCATAGACTGTAATATCCAATATGAACTTGAAATACCAAATTTGAAACAATTCCGAATATCGGGAGGTAACGTTATAAGGGGGCTATACGTGGACGTGGACCTGCACGGACAATTTTCTGTCATAGGATATGGCATCCATTACAAACCTCAAATACCAAATTTGAAATAATTCCGGTGAATAACGTCGCTTAAATCATCAAAATACCGAATATCGGGAGGTACGGTTATATGGGGGCTATACGAAGAGGTGAACCTGCACAGACAATTTTCTGTCACAGACTGTAGTATCCATTACGAATTTCAAATACCAAATTTGAAACAATTCCGGTGAATAATGTCGCTAAAATCATCAAAATACCGAATATCGGGGGCTACCGTTATATGGGGGCTACACGAAGACGTGGACCTGCACAGACAATTTATTGTCTTAAGCTGTAGTATCCATTACGAACTTCAAATACCAAATTTTAAATAATTGCGGTGAATACTGTAGCTTAAGTCATCAATATCTATATGAAGATATGGACCTTCACGGACAATTTTCTGTCATAGGCTGTAGTATCCATTATGAACTTCAAATACCAAATTTGAAACAAGTCCGGTGAATAAATTCGCTAAAATCATCAAAATGCCGAATATCGGGAGGTAACGTTATATGGGGGCTATACACGTAAAACGTGGACCTACATGGCCCATTTTCAATACAAAAAGTCCTGCAGACATAATATACATTTGCGTAAAATTTTATTAATCTACTTCAATTGGTTCGGAAGCTAGAGTGATTTCCACAGACAGGCAGACGGACCGACGCACGGACATCGCTAAATCGACATTTAATTTTATGCTGATCAAAAATATATGTACTTCGTGAGGTCTAAAATGTATATTTCGAGGCGTAACAAACGGAATGACAATTTTAATATACCCTCCATACTATGGCGGAGGATATAAAAATATATATCGGAGCCGAGTTCCACCAAATGAAAACGTACGTCCGGAAATGCACTCCATTTGGACAGATATTAGCCATTATTTGCACAATAAACCTGAAATCGGATTAAGGATAAATATGGGAGCTATATCCAGATCTTAGCCGAGCTCCATAACATATCTAGTACCAAATATTATTGTTGTCGAATGCATATTACGAATGTGAGGAACTCAAACACCAAATCGGATGAAAGAAATATATGGGAGCTATAGCTATATCTGAACCGATTTTCATCAAATGTATTTCACTTACTCTTAGACTGAATTCTGTCGATTAAGCCAAAATTCAGTCAATTTGGGCTGATATTATAATAATCTAGGCGATGGTACTTCCGATAGCATTTACTATAGCAACAAGGGAATGATGATATATTTCCATGATGTTTCCTTAAATGACTTATATAGAGCTTAGCATCAGGAAACAACTCAGTGCAAACAAAGCATGTCATTCTGTCCATTATAACAAAAATAGTAGGGTTAATCGTATAAAAATGTATTAGGTTATATATAATTTTAAATTAAAAATACGATTCTATCGTAATGAACTGCATTAGCTGCAAAATATAATAAAATAATGTATATAATATATACATATAAAATACGACCTGTATGTATATAATAATTTGTTATATATAAATATGGTATTATAATTTCTTACGGCGCTGTATCCGAACGCAGGTCATTTATCAACGTACTAATTGACGGAGTAATGTTGTCCCAAGGCGTACTAACATCAAAAATAATTCTTTGAATAAATGTCCATACATGTGAGCAGTTTTCAGGGAATTTAATATTCATAGCCATGAAACAGTGGAAGCATACCTCAACAGCTTGTAGAGGATTTTGCAGTTTGGTTCTGATCCCGCAAATGTCTACATAAGCAAGCGATATAATTTTTGTGGAGTCACCGACAAAATATATTTTTGGCTGGGTTTCAGATTTTAACCTTTTTATTCGGTGTCTTGACTCATCATCTGCCTGCAGAATATTCTACAAATGAAATTTTTTATTGTTTTTTTGAAGATATTATATTATATTAATTTATTACCTCAGTATAATGAATAAAGGACTCCTGTATTTCCAACTTAGACTTCTTTCTGCTATTTGGCAAAAGATATGGTATAATCATTAAGGAAAGTGCAAGCTTTGAGTCTGTAATAGTTAAAAAGATGGTTAGTGTTATATATTATGTTAATCGGTTTATCTCTAGGTACCTTCATCGTCAGTTCCATTAATTAATGTTAATATTTTTTGAACACAGATGTCTCTTAGTTTGCTTGATTTGGCAATCAGTTTCGAATAATAGAATTTCCATTCATAAATACATTTGGCAAATGGAAACAGGATGTTGAAATCTATCTGAAACTTTAATGGAATACAAATTAATAATTAAAAACGTATGTCAACCATTATATTCATATTTAAATTTGAATGATATAAAACAAGTTCGCTTACCAACTCGAATCCTTTTTCATTGAGAAGAACTTTGTATTTGTTTATGTAGTCAATTGTTGGTACTTTACTGTTTTTGAGTACTTCCTGTCTGAGGAAATGTGATCTTTTCCAAGTTTCTACCACCTTGCTCCATTCAAAGCCGCCGGATTTTAGAGTATCTAATTCGTCGGATAATTTTTTTGAATTATTTATGGCTTTAAGGTAAAGACAACAAAAAAAAAAAAAAGTGATATCAAGACATGTAGTTATGTTATGGAAAATTGTTCATACATACCAGGCTTTAAAGGTAGGGATTTGACTTTTCGTTTCATTATTCCCAATGCACTAAGCTTACTCCTTTTATTGTTGTAAGCATCGTAAAGTTTTCCCTTCGCTAGATGTCCTTTTTGAAATGGAACATAATACGTCTCCTTAACTTCAGATTCAAAAATTTCCACAATTGAATTAGATAATTGTACAAAATCCTCTCTAAGTAGCCTAAAATAAATTACATTTTAATGAATTTGTCAAATCCTTGTATTTGTCTATACATACTGTCTGTTTGGGGTTTTATTTAGTATAAATTCAATTAAAGCCTTTGCAATTTTAATGCGGTCCTTATTTTCCAACGTTTTCACATTTAAGAATTGGTTAATATCCGGGATTGCGCAAATTTCCTAAAGAAATATATTGTTGAAATATAGAAACTCACTAGTTCTACTATATACAGTAAGAATATGTACTATAGTACTTAAAATGAAAATCATATTTAAAGAAAAGACTTACCTGCTTTGATGGAAGACTTTGCAAATTGTCCACACTGGTCAAAACAATTATGTCTTGGGAGGAATTTAAAAATGTCTCTTCTCCAATGCAGGATATTGCTTGATGAGCAGCTGCGAAATGTTCTGCTGATGGCGAATCTATAGATTCACTTTCAAATGCAGAGTCCGTATTGGATACACAAACGTCAACACCTGAGAAAATTAGAAGTAAGAAAATATAAAATTCTACAATTAAAAATAAGTTTGTTTCATTTAACTAATACTTACTTGATAGCTTAATGTCTAGAACAAAATCAGTAGATCCAATAAACTGTTTAACAAAATCCGAAAAATGGCTTGGGTTTATTTTGAAACCTTTAGAGAGTACGTCTACATTAACATCTCTTAAACTGTAGCTTTTACGAACTGCAATAAAAACAAACAAACATAATAACATAAACAAACAGACACAATCAAAATTGCTTGCACACTTCGTGTTTGTTTTATCAAATTTCTTACATTTACCTTCATCTAGGAACAATTGGTAATTGTTATCTCCGTCAAATGTAACACAAATTATTTCTTTTTTGTCACCAAAAATTGTTTTTATAAATTTTAAACCTTTCATTTTTTGATTTTGTTAAACGCACAACTTTCTCGCACAAACAGAACAGAACAACTGGCGTAAATTCTGTTCTTTTTTTGCAAGCAAAAAAGTAACGGGACTCTCATCAAGAAATGCGTATGTATGCATGTATGTTTGAAAACGCAGAATTATTTGTTGACAACAAACATAACATGGTTGCCATAAAAATATCGTTATTAATTTCAAAAATGATATTATTGCATTCCAATGCATACACAAAATATGGATGAAAATACAATAACATAGTGTATTGTAGGAAACATGCTATGATCGTATAAAAAATCTTATTGTTGTCACCGAATTACATTGTCGGGATATTTAATAGAAAATCAGACATTTTGTAAGAAATGCAAACATTTTCTGAATTTCTATAATTTAGATTTTCTTAAACTAATATATGTATATATTACATTAAAGTGTGGGATGACACATATAAAAGTTAAACTAAAAACTATGAAAAACACTTTTATTTCACAATACCCGTTTATTTATAAACTAGTACGAACGACTTCGAACGTTGCCGAATATGAACTGAAGAAAGCATCGTGGGAGCATTACAGCAACATACGAAATGACAATGTTATTATTCCATCTAATCATGTCATGTTTAATGTTAGTAAGATTCTGATAATTACATTATGGATAAACAAAATCGACCATAGTATTATTGCTTACAACTATGTAAATGGTTGGTAACCATAAAATATTTTATTAATGCAAACAATTATTGTATCAGCAACTATTAAATAGTTCCTCTGATAATTGTATGATTGTTCAAAGCAACCATACTGCAGATTTTTTAATGAAAAACATTTTTGCTACAAAATATTGATCAGGTTTTTATTGTGAAAATAATGATGTGGTTGAAACCAATAAAAACATGTTTGAGGGAACAATTGTATGATTGTAGCAAATATTTAGTGATTGCAGTGAAAATGTTCAACTATATTTTTTCTCTGCGTGTACCCATTTGGTGCACAATTAACCCGAAATCGGTAGAAGGTATATACGGGAGCTATATCCAAATCTGAACCGATTTTGACAAAAATTAATACACCTATTTCAGAACGGTATCTGATATCTGGTACCAAATATCATTGTTATAGAATGCATATTACACTTCTGAGGGGCTTTAAACCCCAAATCGGATAAAACATATACATGAAAGCTATAGCTACACTGGTGGCCAAAACTAAAGCAACTGAAATTACAAGGAGAATGAATGCCCTGTAACTTTTTTAAAAATTAAGAAAATGAGAAAGTTTTTCTTGTTTTAAATTAGGTACTTTATTCACTTTTTAAAAACGTAAAACATAAAACCAAAATTCATTTTTATATAAAAAATAATGTTTGGTAAAGTCAATTAACCCGATTTTGTCTTGGACAAAACAAACAAAGCAACTCTGTTGTACATTCATATAACCGCTTCAATTTCAGTTGTTTTTACTGTGATATTTATCGCTTTTTGCTTCCTTTTTGAGAAGTTTTTTACAACAACTCGTGTTTGCCCAAAAAAAATTTTAAAAATGGCTAGAAGCAAATACAGTACCTGAATAAAACAGCAAATTATCAGTGACTATCAAAACAACATATCACAGAAAGTGATTTCCGGGAAATATTTCATAAATATTTATGTGATTTCATAATTATTTCTGTATGCTAAGTCGGTTTTTTGAAACTGGATCAGTAGTAACAGTCTATAAAGGATGAAGGCCGTGAAAAACTTCAGCCCGTACTGATCCACAAATTGTGAGAGAAATAAAAAACAACCATTTAAGAGTTCAACTGGATTGGTGAGAGAGCAATCATTGGATATAAGCTCGAGATCAGTGCGTAGACGAGTAGTGGCAGCTGGTCTGCATGCCCGTAAGACATCAAAAAACCATTTATATCTGATAAAATCAAAAAGGCTTTCGGAAACAATAATATTAAGTGGAATCAAGCTCAATGGAAAAAACATTATTTCTGGGATGAGTCTACGTTTAATATTAAAGGCTCAGTCGTGATAAATTTTACGGTGAGAAGACCAAAAAATTAAGGATTCAAGCCGCAGTGTTGCAAAGGTACAGTGAAGCATGAGGGAGGGTCAAAAATGGCGTGGCGCTGTTTTTCTTTCAATGGACTTGGGGCTATCCATAAAATAAAGGAAGTTGTGGATCGGTTTGTTTATAAAGATGTGTTGGACATCACGTTGTTCCCTTACGCTGAGTAAAATATTCGTCTGATTTGGGTGTTTCAGCATGACAATGATCCCAAACTTGTATCAAAACTTGTCAAATATTTGTTGCGGGAGTCAAAAATTGATGTTTTGTTATGGCCGGCACAATCACCTGACCTAAACTCAAAAGGAAACCTTTGGAGTATCGTACATAAGAAGGTCAAGCGATATTCGGAAATAAATAAGCACAACATTTTCTAAAGAATTCGGGGTGCCTGGGAAAGCACACCCAAGGATCAAATTGAGCGTGTTATAGATTCAATGCCTCGTAGGTGTGCAGCTGCTATCAAAAATAATGGTTATGATATCGACTACTAGCCAAAATTTAATTATTTTAAAATAAAAAATCAAAAGTTGCTTTAGTTTTGACCAAGCAAAAATTGGGTCATTTTAGTTTTCCACATATTATTTTTCGTTCAAAATTATTTTTGTATTTCTATTTTTAGTTTCTTAAAAGTAAATTAAGTATCTCATTTAAAAATGGAAAAATAATTACGATTTGTTTATTTTTGTAAAAGTTACCGAGCATTTATTGTCTTTGCGCTTGTAGTTGCTTTAGTTTTGGCCACCAGTGTATATCTGAATCGATTTACGCCAAATTTGTCATAAATGCCAAAATTCGGTCCCTTTGGACTGATATTAGCCATTTGGTGCACAATAAACCTGATATCGGATAAAGAAAGCTATATCCTAATCTGAACCGATCTCAATAAAATTTGACAGAGGTATATTATTTTTCTGGTGTGCATAGTACACACGTGAGGGACTTCAAACCTCAATTCGGCTGAAACATATATATGGGAGCTATAGTTATATCTGAACCGATTTTCTCCAAATTTCATTAATTAGATGCTAGACTGAATTCGGTGGGATGTACCGACATACAGGTCGTTTGGACTTATATTGGCAATTTGGTGCACACTTAATACGAAATTGGTGGAAGATATGTAAGGAAGCTATATTTAAATCTGGTCGGATTATCATCAATTTCAATAGGGTTCGTCCTTGGGCCAAACAAATATTGTTTGGAAAAATTCATCTCTGCATTTTTGTTCACAAAAATTCATGGACGGATGGACAAACGGACTGACATGCATAAATCGACTCAAAATGTAATTCTATGAAGATCCTCAAAAGTAAGTATGGGTCTATCTCGCTTCCTTCTCCGTGTTACAAATAAATGCACAGAAACATAATACCCTTACCACTATGTGGTCTAAGTATAAAAAACTCATAATTCTTATGAAGGCCGAATTTATCTCCGGGTTAGCAAATTTCTATCAACACTAATTCTTGACTTTTTGATAGATATTGGCCATTTGGTGCCCAATTAACTCGAAGTCGGTTGAAGATATATATGGGAGCTATATCCAAATCTGAACCGATCTTGACAAAATTTAAAACACTTATCTCAGAACGATATCTGATATCTGGTACTAGATATCATTATTATAGAATGCATATTACGCTTGTGAGGACTTTAAACTCCAAATCGGATAAAGCATATATATGGGAGCTATAGCTATATCTGAACCAATTTACACCAAATTTGAAGTTCTGGTTTATATTATAAATTCAGTCGTAAATGCCAAAATTCAATCTATTGGAGCTGATATTAGCCATTTGGTGCACAATAAACCTGATATCGGATAAAGATATATATGGAAGCTATATCCTAATCTGAACCGATCTCGATAGAATTTGATAGAAGTATTTTCGAGCAGTATCTGATGTCGGTACCAAATATCATTTTCCTGGAGTGCATATTACGCATGTGAGGGACTTAAAACCCCAAACATATATACAGGAGCTATAGCTATATATCCGATTTTCTCCAAATTTGATTAACTTGCTGCTAGATGGAATTTGGTGGGATATACGAAAATACAGGTCATTTGGACTCATAAAGACCGAAATTATCTCCGGATTTTCATATTTCAATAAACACTAGTTCTAGTGTGAACGTAGGTCATATAGGTCCACACTTTCTGTTTGACAACCCCCCCCACCCCCCCCCCTCCCAAATAATTTTACAAATGTATGAATCTCATGTAAACCTCAATTGGCGTTTTCCAATAGATTAAAATATAGCGACTGAGATAAAAAACTGCAATAAAGCCATAATTTTTACTTTTTTTTTAAATTTTATTGAATGAAGGCAACAAATGCGGAGAACGACCATCGACTGTTATGGCGGCCCACACCATCAACATGGCCGGCACTTGAGTTCTAGTGGTCAACCGAAGGTGTACAAATCGCTTCTTTACTTTCTGAATCATTTCTGCTGATGTTGCTGTTTCTCTTTTCTTCCACTTCCTTCATCAGTATCACGGTAACGACCAATGGCACGAGACATAAAAGATGTATTCACATTTAAATGCTGTAGTGCTTTAACGATAGCCACTTGTGGGTTTCCAGCCAAATATAAAGAAATCATACTGTCACGCTTGAATTCCATCACGAATAACTTTTTTTCTGGAAAATTCTCACCAAAATGATTTTGTACGCTTGCAAACAATATAATGAGCTGTCACTGGAATAATTTTAACAGCTGTCGGACGAGTGGCTTAGAAATGACAGCAGTCTGAAGTTGGTTGCAGTTTTTTTTCATCTCACCCTGAGTCGATCTAAGGGTATCCGTCCGCCTGTCTGTCTGGTGTGCACCTAACTCCAAAGGGACTATGCGATTTGATCCAAACTTGGTACATCATAATAATATTGGCAAACCAAGATCGAGTTCGGAGATGGATAATATCGGTTCACTCCATCTGGCCACTCCCCAACAAAAAATCAAATTTTTCA